CTTGAGATAGCGGACGTCAGGAATTTGGGTTTAGGTGCCCTCTGGGGAGATTTTCTTGGGCAAGGGAAAGGTCATAGCCAGAATGAATGTTGGGGTTGCCCAAAATTAGGGGTACCTCAGGTGAACCCCCCACCCAGTAATCGTGACTATACTGGATAATAGGGATTATACTAGGGTCCTCTTAGATTCCTACCATACCACTATTACAGGGTGGGGGGCTAAGGGGTACCTTTAATGGGGTGAAAGGAGAATAGGGTTATGTAGGGTTTAGGGCTTAGAGTTTCCCAAAATCAAGGGTACCATTTGGGGGATTCCAATAATAAGGATTATAGATGATTAATATATTTCCGGATCTATGTTGGGGTCCCCCAAACCCTACATCTAAACCGCAAACCCTAAATAAACCCTAACATAGCTCCTTTAACACTACTGTGATCAGGACCTGTTCAGCCCTGACATCAAGGATGACCCCTTCGTCGGGTACCAAGCTGATACTTCGGGAAAGACCGCTTAGGGGTACCTGGAAATAATCTTTACTTTTTGCTTATTATAATCCTAAGGAACAGCAAAAATTACAAGTTTTGCTTGGTTCCAAGTTCCCCAATAAGTGGAGGGCATTGAATTTATATGGGTGGTTGTTAAAATGATGGTCTTTTTTTGGATCCCTATCATAATATGGCTAATGTTTAGGGTACCCAAAAAAGGACTATAATTTGGACAACCACCCGTATTATAGTTGGGATCCAAAAAGGGACCATAATGTTGACAACCACCCATATGATGGGGCTCGGGGTTTAGGGTTTAGGGTTACTGTTACACCACGGGGGGGGGGGTTTGGGTTCTGGGTTGCATTATCCAGGGGTTTGGGGTTAAGAGTTGCATTACGGGTGGGGGTTCATAGTTTTCTCTAGATGAGAGCATGAGTCCTACATTATCTTACTGGTCCTTAGTAGGGAGTAAGGGGAATAAGGGAATATAGTCCCCGTACGATGGCTATGTAATAGGTTCCCATAAATATGTTCCCATATTCCATTCTAAGACTCCGTAAGCTATGGAACCCACATTTTGGGGGCTGCTGTTAAGGAATTTCCGGCAAGTTACCATCATATCGGTATATGGTAAATAGAAGGGTTTCCTTATTGTAGTATCTTAATTCAAGTTCCTTAACTCCAACCCGGTAGCATAACATTGCCTCTAGATGAGGCTAGAAAGACTCATAAACGTCCCCCTTGAGTGCCAACTACGACCGCAGCGGCAGAAATGGTTCAGTTCAAACAAGTCGATTTGCAGGATGCTTGCACTTGCAAGCGCAACTGCAATGGTCAGGTACTATCCCAGTATGTTTAGGGCTAGGGTGTAGGGTAGCACATCAAGAACAACAGTCGTAACAGCAGTGCCCTGAACGCGTAGTATGTAGTGGCAAGCAGGGCAGACATGACATGAGAGTCAGCAGAATCGTTGAACAATGTATTGATGTCCCATCCCCCTATACCACCAGCATCATCTAGTCTTAAGATACCCCACGAACTCCAAACTGGTGTTTCCTAAAATTAGGGCTGCTGCTTTGGGGGTCCTTGTAATAAGATAAAAGTATATTCGGGTCTATGTTGCTGTCCCTATTTTGGGAAGTTCCCGAAGCAACAACCCAAAGTCTGAGAAGCAATTGGACATGAGATCCCAAACCCTAAGGACCACCACCTTGTAAGTCCTCAAAAGCAGTCCCAAACTCGCACCTCCCCAAACCCTTAGGGTTTAGGGTTTAGGGTTACCACCAAACCCCAAAAGCCAAACGCCTGAACCCTTCAAAGCCAGAACCCCAAAACCTAGAGCCCTAACCCTACACCCAAAACTCAAATGCTAAGCCCCTAAACCTTCTGAACCCTGAACTCTGAAATCCCTGAATCCTAAACCTTCCCAGCCTCAAGGCGCCAACTCCAAATTCCAAACCATTGAACCCCAGTCCCAAATGCCTTCGCCTCAAACTCCCAAACCCTAAACCCTCAATTGTAGTTTCCATCAGATTTTACATTATCCCAATATAACCCCACCATACCCCTAAACCGTAAACTACGCCCTAGCTAAACTCCAAAGAATCCCAAATCCGAAGCCCAGAGCTGCTGCTGGTTTTGATAGCTTGCTAGTTGATTCTAGGGAATAAGGA